CCCCCCACATGGCCAGGACCCTGGAAGGCCCCTCAAGAGCATTTAAAAATCGGACATGCAGAGCTTCTGTAGCTCTTAATAATTTTCCCCACTCTTCCTAATAATGAATTAAACATTTTTGTGTATTAATTGTATCTTTGCATTACTACTTTTGTGGATTGCCTACTTTCTTTGTCTGTTTTCTTCAGTTGGTGTACCTTTAACTTGTTAAGTTGTAAGAGCTCTTTTAGACAATACTACAGAGATTATATATGCAGATTTATATATACATTCACATGTATATTGCATACACACATACATGTATACACTCACATGTATACAAATATAATATACACACATACATAAATAATACATGTGCACGCACACAACAAAAATTATATTCTTTCTATAGAAGAGCAAACCTAAAAGACGTGACTGCTTCATGGAAACTTTGGAGAGCTGAGAGAGGGTAGTCTGAACAGAAGACCTTGGGAGAGTTAAAACTCTGATTTCCTAGAAATGTTTGTTTGTTCCTTTTACTCAAACACTGTTTACTCATGATTTTTCAAGGACAGCTCTGACCCAAAATATTTTCTAAACATCTGAGTCAGTCCCCAGTTGACTCGACTCCATTTACTGTCAAACGTGCAAATGTTTGACTGTACATGTAAATCTGAGGTACAGTGTGCTGGGTTTTAAGAAATCCCAAATGCAGATAGTTGCATTTAGAGAATGGGCCCACTGAGGATGTGCTCAGCTAGGCGGCGGACCTCGGGGTTAAGTTTCACAGCATGTTTACGGCTCACGGCCTAGTGAGGGGAGCCGAGCAAGGATGCTAAATCAGTAAACAACTGACTGGGGGAAATGAAGGGTCTTTGATATTTTAATATGGCTTGGGGAAAAATCAGCTTGGGTTTATAAACATTTGTTGTATACGGAAGCAGTTCTGACCTGAGGTACAGGCGGGTGCCAAGCAGCCTGCCCACTGCCACCGGCCTTGGCAGCTCTGAGAGAGGAGCCTGCGGGCAGTAGGCTCTGGTCATCTGGCGCCTGAGGAACACAGGGACTAGTCAGGACTAGCAGTTCAGCTCCTGTTTCCCCAGCCGGTCTCAGATCGCTTCCTAACCTCCTATGGTACAGAAGCACTGGAGACGGGGGCTTTCTCGCTGATCCCAATTCCTGGGACATGAATGGAAATATGTGGTAGGGAGATCTGTGTGCGTGTCTGTGGACTTGAATATTCTTGATGCATTTCTAATCAGCCCACTGTCTCCTGGTGCAGGCGTCCAAAGGGGGGAGGCTGCCAAGCACCCAGATCTCTGAGCAGCTCTGTTCCCATGCCCACCGCAGAGCCCAGGGTGGCACAGGCCGGAAGGGTCATGGATACAGTCCTGCAGGAAGCTTGGACCCCCGGCGATGTTTTGTACTAAGTTGTTCCTCTCCCCCTCCCGTCCT